CTTATGAGGACAGACTAAGCAAGCTGGGCCTGTTTAGTCTGGAGAAAAGAAGACTAGGAAATTCTGATCAACATGTTCAAGTACCTGAGAGGTGAATGTAGGGAGGATGGGGCCAAACTCTTCTCAGTGGTGGCCAGTGACAGGACGAAGGGTAACAGGTGCAAGTTGAAACACAGGAAGTTCCACCTCCATGTGAGGAAGAACTTCTTTAATGTGTGACTGACAGTGCCCTGGAACAGGCTGCCCACAGAGGTTGTGGAGTCTCCTTCTCTGGAGATCTTCCAAACCTGCCTGGATGCAGCCCTGTGCCATGTGCTCTGGGTGTCCCTGTTGGAGCAGGGGGTTGGACTAGATGATCTCTAGAGGTCCCTTCCCAACTCAAATGTTCTGTGATTCTTTTCATCTTCCATGTTTCACTACATATTTATCTCAAAGACAGCACACTGAGTACTTCCATTCTGGAAAAAAAATAATTTCATGCAGCATATTTTGGCTTAGCAAATAAATTCCAAAGTCAGTACTTCCCAAAAGGAGGAGGAACAGGAAAATTACATAAACACCTAGAAGGCCTCACTGACTTCTTCATCCAGACTGGGGGCCTGTAGCAGACACCCAAAGCAGAGTCTCCCATGTTGGCCTGCCCTTCAGTCCTTATCCACAAGCTCTCAACTTATTCCTCATCCAACCCTAGGCAGAGCTTCATGCACTCCAGTTGCTCTTCCACACGAAGAGCTACTCCTCTATTCCACCTTCCTGGCCTGTCTTTACTAAAAATCACGTAGCCATCCACAGCAGAGCTCCAGCTGCACGAGCCACTCCTGCGTGTCTCTGTAACTGCAACGGGATCGTGGCCCTGAGACCCCACGCAGATCCCCTGTTCCTCCTGTTTCTTTCCCATGCTGCGGGCATGGGTGTACAGGCAAAATGACTTTTCATTGTGAGCTGGACTGTATATACAGATATTTTAAAAATCTCTTGAGAAAGGAACTGAGAAATTTGGGAGATACAAAATATTTATATACAAGCATTCCACTGAGTGGTATTTTTTGTGTGTTCCCTACTTATATATTGTTTCAAGAGATACATTGTTATTAGCAGTATAGATCCCACATCACCATTAGCATTTTAAGCTAGAATGTTACTTTTTTTCCTTTCTTTTCAAAATTATGAACCAGAACAACTAATTGAGATATCTACTTTTCTACATCCTGATGTTCTACATCGACATAATTCCTCATTTATGTTGTTATGAAACAGAAAAACAGGTATTTCCTAAAGTACAAGGCAAGTCCTCAATGACTGCTATGAAAAACAGTCTCAAGATTCATGCAATTTACTGAAAATTGATTTTCTTCCCTGACTTTGTCTACTCAGACTTTCACTGTGTGTATCTGGAATGGTAGCACATAGAGCAAATACATATCCCCCAAAGGATGTCAGGGCAAGACAAGATTACGTGGGGACATGGTATTTAGAGAAATGGAAATATATAGCATATGAACAAAAATATTAACTTTATTGTTTATACTTTGTTTTACAATGCTTGCATTATGCCTATGATAAAGGTCAGTCCCAGAGGCTCTTTGGCATTACTGCAGGACTTCTCCTCCTAACTTTGTCTTACAACTTTTGCAGAGATCATTCTTCTGTGTAAGAGACATATAAAGACACAGATCCTTCCCAGAAGTGTCTAAAATGATTTAAAGTGTAGGAAGAAGAAGTGATAAAAACCCTGTTAATCTTTGAAATAATAATTCCAGCAAGAAAGCAGCAATATGAATAACTGTAATTAAATTTAATCTTGGAAGCAATCTTATATGGATACTGCTCAAGGATCACTTAACCTTTTGCTATGTCATCAGTGCATTTCTAATTATAGAGTGTCTGCTTTCAGATTTGCAGATAGCTTATCTTCTTGCAAGCCCAATTTCAAACGTCAAGGTCTTCTCGAGGTCTTTCCAGCATTTCCAGGGCACTTTAATTTTTTGACAGATCTATGCCTTTTCTTAGTACTGTCTTTTTTTAGCATGCACACTGTGGCTTCAGTCAAAACAACTGATATTACCCATAATATTTTATATATTCTGAACACTCACCTCTATTTCTGAACTTCTTACTATCTAGTAACAACTTGCAAGTTACTTGTATAGTCACTTAAAGAAGAATGAACCTACTACATACCAGAATTACAGTAAAGAAAGTAAAAATTATTCACATGCTATAAAACCATTTCAGAAGAATCCTAGGTAAAACACTGAAAGAAAACAAAATGTGATGATTAAGACTAAGTGCTAAAAAGTAATTTGTTCACTAGGCAGACAAGAAAAAATGCGCTAAAAAATATTCTCATGAACACAAAGCAAAAGGAAGAAAAAATGCAATTAAACCATAATGGAGATTAACAGTGTCATATCTAACAAGACGATTTAAAACACATTTACCTCTGAAAACCACAGTCTTTTAAAAAAGATGTGAATACAGAACACAGGTAAAACCATATTTGTACTTAGGTAAATGGTAAGATTTCTACTGATTCACAGGACACCAGCACTTCACTCATGAATATTGACCCTCTTAACTTGAAAATCACAAGAAAAATTCATCACCCAAAAGAAATGAGAACTGATGTTTGGGAACTTGTTTGACAGCAGTTCTATAAAAAACATTCATAGCTTTGTTTATAGTACTCATGGCCAAAAACATCTTTCAAATCTAGAAGAAAAACAACATTCCAAGTAAATGAAAAGACAAAAGGAGCATTCCATGAAATTAGGTGAAGGTTTCTTTGAGTGGCATGACTAATTGCAGATTTCTTTAACAACTAGTGAAGAAATGAAGGGATAATTGTAGCAGTCAGTAAAATAACTAGAAATTATTTTCAACCAAAGCAAAATTAGAAATCACATACATTAAATCTGATGATTTACTGCAGAAAAAAAAATAAGGCTCATAAAGAAAAAATATTAGATATTGTCTTAACAAAACTGCTTTACTAAAAACATTGCTAATGTCAGAGTAACACATAAAAAAAGCTATCAGATAATATAGTTACGAATGATTGATTTTTCCATGGCTAGATTTTTCTGAAGAGAAAGGTTCGCTGATTTCTGTGGGGTATATGACAAAGATGAGAGTAATGCAGCAGTAATTTTTCTCCCTCTTTGCGATGTTCCTGTAGTCTCACAACACCTTCAGTTTTGACAAGAGTTTTATCCTACAGTTTTAGAGCCACTTTTATAGATAACATATCTGATATGAATTTATTTACTTCTTTACTTTCCTAAAATCAGACCATACTAGAACAGCTGAAGATTTAACTCTTAATTTTTAAAAATGGAAAATGTACTCTTAGCCAAAATAAATCAGATGCCAATTTTTCTCATCTTCCTTACAGAAACACAGTCAATATAAATACAGAAGAAGATACTTGAAAGAAGGACAATTGGACTGTGAAAAACATAAAACCTATAGCTGTAAGTGAGCTTAAGTGAGTCTAAGGATATAACACCTTTCAAAAGAGAAGAGGGAGGGAATTTCTTGGAGAAAAGAATTAAATACAACATCTTTGTGTCTTGCACAGGAGTCAGAACTGATTAAACAGGATTTAACGGTTAGGTTGCCATTTCAGTCCTAACCATGTGGCCTCAAAGGGTGAGCAGAGCTAGCACTTATTTGCCTACAAAGTTAATGTAAAATAATACCGTAAAGTATAAAGGTGGAATATCTCACATCTCAGATTTTTTCTATCATTTACATCATTTTTGATATAGTCACATCTGTTCTCAAAACCACTCTTACATAGCCCCTTCTACCAGTTCCTTCTTTTGTGATGAGAATGTTCTTCCTGAAACAATGGAGAATCCTCACACTTGGCTGTCTTTGAGGAGAAAATGTGAAAATATCTTTTCTGATTTGCATTGTATCATTAATAGCTGCCCAAAAGATTTTTTTTCTATTTTAAATTAAAAAGGCCTCATTTTAAAAAATGTCCATGTTGACCCTTTTGTAATCCTGGCTAGTATATGGCTCTGGGCTCTAAATCACTAGAATAACAGATCAAACTCTGAACACAGAATATGTCTATAGCGCAACATGGGGTTGTGAGTGAAATACTGCTTCTTTTTCTCTGGTGAAGTACTGCCCCACTCAAGCAGTGTCTCTTGTGACCACAAATTTGGCAGAATTTCACTCACAATTATCCAAACACTCATTTTCACATGAAAGATTCTAGTTCAGAAATGCGTTCATGAACATGCACAATTTATTCTGGTTATTTAGGCTGGTATAAGTTTTTGGGTAAGAGCTATTGATAATGTCAGGTAATAAAACTACTACAAACATATACATAATCCTGTGCTTATTTGAAAAAATATAATCCTAAAAAAGGAAACATGGCAATTACTTACGAATCCACGTGATTTTCAAAGGAAAGGAGGATTGGAAAAGGTGATGTTTTAAATGCACACTCAGCAATAGCTTCTATTACTTCCTGAAGAATTAAAATGCATACAGTTACAAATCTGTGTGCCTAAAAGAATGGTATCTTGGTCTTTGTTAAACAAACAGAAAATAACCCAAAGATAGGTGATATCATACCCAGACTGCCTGAAATCTGAATGTTCCAGAAAGCTCTGGATATGCTTTTGCAGCCACCAAATTTTTCAGTTCGAACTGTATCAGACCTCAACAATGTTTTAACAGTCTCTAGTGCTATATTACTCCATAAATGTCTTACATCCAACTAAATCGATAGTTTAAATGTAAAACTCCATCTTTGCATGGAATTGTTCCATGCCTGAAGCCACAGTTTGTGTGAATTCTTTTGCATAATAGTAGAAATGCTTTGATAGCTTACATTTTCTACACATCATCTCTACAAGCACTCATCTGTAAAATCCTTAGTTTCTCTGACCCCCAAGTTTTCCTTTCCACTTTTTGATATAACAAATGAAACTCTCAAAGGCATAAAAAGAAAGAATAAGTGTGTCTCGGTTGCAGGAGTTGACCGTAATAGTCATCTGATACAGGGTTCAGAACCTGGAGCTTTTGTAGAAGCTTCCTTTCAGCTTTGACGGAAGATGGCAACTGTAAATCTGGCAGAGGAATCATCAAACTAATTTTAGGTAGGTGCACAATATATCCTCTAGCAATGCATCACTGTTGGAAGTTACTCAGATTTCTTCTCAGTGGAACTTGTGCACCAAAGACTTCACATATTCATTGCTATCAACATCTGTAGTGTGAAGGACCTCATGAGCCTGCTCCCTCTCAAATCTCAAGGATGACTAAAAGTTGCAAGATTTATTTACTTTAATCAAGCCCCCTGGAGTTCTTGTTTGTCTTTTGTACTTTTTGAAGTTCAATTCAGAAGCGTAACTGTTAGAAATGCCCTTCCTAAAGTGACAGCTGTGCCTCTGGCACATTCTTACAATTTCAGAGTGGAGAAGTTGAGCTTGAAGAAAAGCACAAGCTCTCTCAGAGCTGCTGATACGAGCTAGGATATACCAGAATTTGTGGCCTTAACACAAGCAGGAGACAGTTTCACACGTAAGCTTCACACAAGCAGAAACACAGCTCAGGCACAAATTGCAGTAGTATCCCTTAGAAGATGAGAAACCAGCTCTTCCAGCACACTCCATCACATGATGAATGACTGTATTTAATAAACTGCAATTGCCAAATGTTGAAGCACTTCACATATCACTAACCATTTGTAAGCTTCAACTAAGATCACTTCTAGCCTCTGGAGAGAAAAGAAAGGCAAAGCATTTACCCAAAGAGCAGGGAATGGCACAGGAGGCTGGATGCAGACAGGCAGGGAGCTGCACTTTCCTAGCAATCATCCTCCTGCTGAGGGACAAGACCTACGGGTGTCCTCTAGAGTCATGTCTGCCTTTCACTTGCTCTCCAGCTCCAGGAAATCTCTAAGTGCTGCTTCTACCTCGGACTGGTCATTGTGGGCAGGATTTTTAAAGCAAGCTTGCCACCGCAGGTGAAAAACAGGGTGGAAAGTGGGGTTACAAATACTAAATCCTCTCACTCTGATGCTTTCCACCCACTGTACGGGCATTAGCTTGGTTCCACCTACCAGCACCTCATACTGGTTACAGATCATCATCCAGTGCTTAGGAAGATGTGAGCCTAGACATAAGCGGTACTGCAGAGAGGAATCCTCAAGTCTTTCTGGACTATTCAGTTGTGATGATCTGCTTGTGGGCTGGGCCTGATGGTTCTCTAGGGTTCATCTATCCAAAGTGAATACAAGACAGCTCAAAGGAGGTGCGTGCCCTCATACCTCTAAAGGCATCTCTAAGTGAAAGCTGGGGCATTAGCACCACAGCTGATGTTCAGGCAGGTCTAGTCCTCATAGAGGGCTTGGACTGACATCAACATGGTCATACTGCAATGACTTGGGAACATGAAAGCACAATTGGGACTTCCATGTCTTTGAGCCACTCTGAGTATCTTGCTCAGGCGTGTTCTGATGTTTCTGAGATTTAGTGGCTATTTTCCTCCCCTTCAAAATGTTGGACTCCTCAGTCCTACCATTTAGAGAAATCTATGACATTGGAAATCTATTGTCATTGGAAATCTATGACAAGCTGTTTCTAAAGGACCAACAGCTTATGTTCAGAGAAAGATACAACATATGCCACACTTTTAACATTGCTTTGATACCATGAGCAAATTCTACTCTTGGATTTATACAACAGAGCTGAACCAAGACAGCAGCAGTGTTCCACGTAAGAGCAAAACTATGCTATTATACGTGCATGTAGAAGCTCTCTTGCTCTAGTTATGGAAAATAACTTCCTTAACTTATTTTCAATTGCATTCTCAACTAGGAAAAAAAGGTAAAATTCAGCATATGTGGGGGAAAATAGCTTTAAAGACTAAAGCCAGGCTGAGACAAAATCTGGGAATACAAAGCTCAGACATTGGTTCATTGGAGAAATAGGCATATTGGTGATTCAGTCTTGCAGTGTCTTCTAATACGCATGGAAATCTTTATGGACAGGAAAGAACAAACTGGTAAGTTTTGCGTCTTACTTCAGTGGCAGAATGACTCACCTGAAACAGTTCTCCAAGGTATATACCAAGTACACACACAGACTCCTGCTTACGGCATGAAAAATGTTTTTGTTTCTCTACAGATTCACATGCTTGCTGCCACTGACAAAACTTCACAAATTGCTGTGTGTCATAAGGGAAGGTAAAAAATCCACCAACAGACAGCAAGATACAAATCTGAGGCAGTGAAAACTGGCAGCCTGAACAGAAGTGTTGTGTGGTATGGTCACTCCACACTGCTGCATGCAGGATTCTCTTCCTGTGCTGAGAAATGTAGCTCTGCGACATACTAGCCCTTCCTCCCAGTGTTCCTAGCTCCATATCTACTCTTAGATCCACTTCACACTTGCCCTTTTGATGTGCAAAACCGGTTGTTGCAGCAATACTTGGTCTTCCAGCTCTAACTGCACGGGCCTGTTTTCTCCCCCTCCATGAGCTGCTCTGCATACACGTGCACTGGGGCACAGATCTGGGCGGGCCCTGGAAATGACCCTGAGTCAGGTCCACTGATACCACAGGCAATCATCTCATATAATCCCTTTTCCTCAGATTTCCACGGTCACCAGTAATCTCATCCCGTGAAAGACAGGAACACCGCAACTTCCTTCCTCTTCCAGTGATCCCGCACATGTCCTGAAATCTCTTATGAAAATGTCCTTTTACTCCCACATCATTCTTCCCATCTCCCTTTGCATTAACCATCTCTGAGTGCGTTTTTTTCAAGCTTAGCCATGTACTTCGCATTAACCATCTCTGAGTGCGTTTTTTCAAGCATAGCAATGTCCTTGTCAAGCACTCAATGCAAAAGACACGGCCCAGGCTGAAGCGAACTACCCCACGTGCTGCACTGTTGTACCTTGAAGGATATTTCGGTTGTCATGGTGAATCCGTGGGTAATGACCGGCTCCTCTTCCGCTGTCCGTCCTTTCCAGCAGTCGAGCTCCACACAGCGGCAGCCGGACAAAAGCACTTGCCGGTACATCTCTACTGAGGAGTTCCCAGCCAGCTGCCCAGCTGCAGCGACACAGCAAGACCATGAGAAAAGGGAAGTCGGTTTGGGCCTCAGGAATAAATACAAATAATCTAATAAAAATTAAGACTAACAGCATCTTTTATCCTCAGCTGACAGCAGGAACACTCAAAAGCACAAAAAAAAACCCTAATGGAAATGACTTAGGCTGAGTCAATGTCATGGTTTGCATTCTGCCTTCAGTCAAGCTACTGTGAGTAAGAAGGAATAACAGAATAGAAACCCATATGGTTTTCCTGATATAAAAGTTTTGTGAAACAGCATCAATTAAATAGAATAAAATGGCTATCTCAGTTCTTAAAAACTTTGCTATCCTTGGACAAGCAATGTAAAACGTAGAGGCAACTAAACACAGCAAAATTATGTTTTCTCATCACATGTGATATAGTTTAACACAAGATAGAACAAACTCCTGCACAGTTACTAATGGTACCACTAGTAGGTCTCCCATCAATATTCAACACAGCAATCACCACACTGAATTGGTCAGTTAAATTTATTCATGTGAAGAATTATGTAGTGAGAAATTTAACTAGAGACTACAAATTTCGAAATACAAATCTAAAAATAAACAGGAAAAACTCAGCTCTTTCCATAGTCACAAACTGTTCAAAAAAACTAAATAAAACAGGTTGTTACATTCATGAAAGGATTTGCAGCCAGGCTGTCTTCACCTGCTATAGCAGACTTGGTTCCAGTAATACTGATACAAATTTCTTGCAACAGAGAGGTAAAGATAATAAAAGGATGGCTTGGCAAGTGTTTTGGATATGGAGAGAACAAGATGCAATTTCCTGCTTTGTAGCAGACTTCCTGAATAGGCATTTCTGGATTTGCTGAATAGAATTCACTTGTTTTTGAAGCAGGCAGGGAGCTCATTTATTCTACAGATTCTTCACGGATGGATGTCACATAAATGCTTGAGGTACACTAACAGAATATAATGCAGATTACTCTAATCCTCATTTATGATCTCTTTGGCTCAGTGTTCAAATTTCATTTTGGGAACGACATGTTTTGGTTTACTTCACTAAATATCATCATCTGCCTTCTCTATGTTTTTACCCTCCACTACAAATCCTAACTAAAAAACCCTTCTGTTTGAAAATTCCTGCTTAATGTGTGTGTCCAATACATGATCTGGAACCGCCACAAATGTTTCACAATAAATTCACGTTACTTCTACTGAAATCCAAAGGAATTCTTAGCTCCTGTCGGAATCCATGGGAAATATGTGTTAATAACAGAAGTCAGACAGTGCTGGATGATTCTGAAAATCCAAAGAAAGAGCTAGTAAAGGGACAACATGTTTCTTTTTTTACTTCAGTTGCCTTCTGTGTATCTCCTTTGATTATGGCAGGTTGTCTTTACTCACATCAATGCTTTTTCTTGGTGCAAACACAATGTGTAGGGTAAGCAGTTGCTGTTTCATGCAGGATGCAAATAAGCACAAGCATGTATCAAGGTCCAACACCACGAGTTTTTGTACACTCATCCTAATAATCTGGTTTTAAAAACAGCTCTGATTATATGGATCCTCTGAACTGTGCTGCCTGAGCAACTGCATTTGTTTAAAAACTGTTTGCTTTCATTTCTCTCTGTTCTCTTTCTTTCCCCTTAAAGGATATTGAATTTTGATTAACAAAACATTTTATGATTAACAAACTCTACTGTATTTCCTCAGAAACTACTGTCTTGGACTATGTGATCTTTGACCTTCAAAGTCCTTAAGTAAATTATGACATGGATGACTTGCCATATGACACTTCTCCACACTGCCTTATTAATAAAACTCAGCCCTTTTGGAAGGATTCCTGCTAAGGATGAGTGGATATTCAATCTCCATAACATTCAATCTTCAGAAAGCTCCCAGGCAGAGCGCAAAATGGTAGCAAATATTTCGATAGTCTAAATATGCAGTAAGAATATTAGAAATATGAAACAGCAGAAATTTTCTCTCAAATATTTTTTACATGTTTTTATAAAATCCTGCTGCGTGAATCTCAATCTGCAGCTCTTCCAAGATATCCCTTTAATAGATACATTTTAAATGTGCTCACACAGACACTAAAGGGAATACTTGCAGTATATTTTTAATATCCTGTGTGCAGATCGTAGTTTCAATGCTAGAAACTGAAAGTATTTTTTATTCCTTTCTATAATACACAGGGCACCTACGGTGACACAGTAGCATATTTATCACCTTATGTTGCATCAGATAAGAGAAACAGATCTCGATAAAAATTAGCTTTTCTAAAATATACTGGGCCAAATCATACCTGACATAAACCAGAACAGACACTAAATTCAATGGGCTTGTGCTAATTTCTTTAACCTGAGAATCTGACCCCTCTTTTCCCATATACATCAATTCTAGAGCTTTAAGCTACTTGCTTCTCAGCAAATGCATCCTTCTTGGATTTATTCACTGCTGGCTTCCCAAATTTTCTACTGTGTCCCTGTGTACATTCTGACCCCCCAAAAGGACTGATTTAAGAGAAGCAAAACCCAGATTTCAAATATGCTCCTGCTATTCTGATTTGCAAGTACATGCTCAGGGCATGGAGAAGTGCCTGTGTTGCCTCCTGCCCGGGCGATCCTAACCCTCATCTCCTAAGGGAAGTCCTGGGAAAGCAATGAGTGCTCTGGATCATACATGACATTGCAACACGCAAACGCAGAGCCCTGCACTGCTGCGCGTCAGGCTCTTGGCTCCAGCAGTGAGAGAAGGTGCTAGCGGCCGCGTGTCTTGGACACGCTGCATTCATCTGAACTAATTCTCCTTGCAAGCTGTTTTGCCATGCACAGGACAAGTGAATTGGACAGTGCTATGGGACCTGCTCAGGCTGCTGAGACTCACTCTGCTAGTCCCCTTGTGACCCACCTGCATAGCCCTGGCAAGGCCCTCAAACAGGGCACCACGGCGCATGCAGACCTACACAGGCAGCCCTTCTCTTGATGATGGCTCCCCGTATCTTCATGTTACAGATCTCAGCTGTAAGAAGATCACTAGATGCTGCTGTTACATTGAGATAGGCTACCTGACCATCAGCAGAGTTTAATCCTCTCTGAAGAAAGGGTTTCAGAAAACAACAGTTCTGTTATTTCAGCGTGCTTCAACTAGTTGGCCTTAAAACACTAAAAAGGATAATAAGAACAGACACTAAATATCTTCAAAAGTCACTATTAAGAAATAGTGAATATTCCTTAAAGGGAACTAAATGCTTTAAAGAACTGGACTTCTTTTTTCTTCCCAAGAATCTAGCAACCCAGATCTGACCAAACAGTAACTGTTTTTGTATGCTTTATATTAACCTTGGTTGCTAATAGAGATGAATCTTCTCTGAAAATTTTATTGCCAACTGCTGATAAGAATTAGAGTAATTAACTGCTTTGAAGACACAATCTATATGATTGTTTCCCTCCTTTTCAAGATGTTTCTGTTCACTTCTAAAACTGGAGACTTACTTTGAGTATGACTTTGGAAAGAGGGAATTGGTGTGAGGGAAGATGTTAAGGGGAGAGTAGGCACCGTAAATAAAATTAAAAGATAAACTGAGGTTTAATAGCACTAGTATCAACACTCAGGCACCAAAACTGGAGCAATGATATAGAAATTTGAGTGACCGCAGTCCTGTCTACACAGAGGTCTGCTTAATTTCACAGCTATCTTCCCACAAAACAAACCAAAAAAAAACAAAAAAGAAGAGGAAGATATAAAAGAGAGGGAAGATAGGAATCATCTGCAGTACTGCAGAAAGATGAATATATCAATGTATGGATAGTCCATATAGTCTTAATCCTAGTTAATCTGACTCCATATGGTGTTGTATCATCGTTAAAAACATCTGTCCATCTTGGATACAATCTTCATTAATATAATGGCTAAGTATTCAAATTCTGAGCATTTTTTTCCACCACATCTTGGAGCTGGGAAATGAGTGAGCAGCATCCACGACCCCCGTTCTTTTCTCCGCACCTTGGTTCCTCCCCAGCCCACCCTTCCTGCCTCCTTCCTTCCTGAGGGACTGACAGGGTTTCGGGGAGGCAGTGTCCTCCTCGAGGAGGCACAGGAAATTTTTCTGGGGCAGGGGACAGAACTGGGGTTCCCAAAAGCTCCACTGGAGACCACACAGAGCATCTTTTTACTTTATAAAGCACAACAGCTTTCCCTCAACTGATTTATTTTTTAATAAAGAGTCACTTCAACAAGACAACTGGGAAACTGTAGCTGCTTCCACAGTTGCCCTGAGTAGGCCATTGGGAACAGAGAGCCTGCAGCTTCCTTGCTATGAGGTGAAATTACCATGTTCAAATTCATTTAATTGCTGAAAACTCAGCCCTTTTTCCTTGTCACATGGACCTTTATGATACTCTGAAGGTGAATTGTGAAAAATAGTGAGAGTCATAAAGTAAAAAATGCCTCCCAAAGCTGCTGGAAGGGGACAACCAACACTACTCCTTCTCATCCCCCCACCCTCATGCTTCATCCACGTTGCCCAGCACAGTTCCCAAATCCTGCAGGAACCTCACGACTCTACCTCAGGTTTGTGGGAATGGATTAACTCAAGCTCCTGGTATGGACAGTGATGGCTCCTCCTTAGCTCAGCTCCTACCTGCTGGGTGAGCTCCGGGCTCTGGAGCTCCTACCCTGCAGCCCAGAGAGGCAGAAGGCCACGGACAGGGGAGGTGTTGGGTCTTGCTGGATGCTCATTTCAGCTTGGCTCGAGGAGCACGAAGCAGCAGCCAGCCACAAACTGCTCTTAGGGGTGTTATTAAACCCACATGGGGAACTGGTATTGCCCAGCCCTTCTCCCTTCCACACGGCACTGTGATCTCTAAAACTGTGGAGATACTGTTAGGGAGAGTGAAGAAAGCTTTGGGGAAGTGCCAAAAGCAGATAATAAGCAAAAACAGCTATGACTGAGGAGTAACTGAGAGCAGAAAAGCTGCAGGATGGCACAGGAGAGGCCTGGAATAGCAGCAGTAAAGGAGAAGAGAACAGGTCCCATCACCACAGATATTTTGGAAATAACTGAGAGCACTGGCCTGCAAGCAGGGCAGGGTGGGACAGTCCCACGGTGGTGAGACGCTCTGAGCTCTATAATGAGAGCTCTGCAACCTCCTGCTGCGTTCTGATTCAGAGACAAGATCTATGTTAAAGGCCTAGGATTTTCATACTTAGCATTTCACATTTTTTTCTCCTCTGAACAAAAGAAAGAAAGAAATGCAACAGTAATGATGTAAAATCATTATTTATCTTTGACTTTGCTGGTGCTGGTGAGAGAAATGCTGCAAAGTCACTCTCAACTGTGACCAGAGCAATAACTTGAGGGAAGATAGGTGAGAAACTGGGGAGGGGGGAAGCAGGTTGCACATTAAGGATTTGAAGGATTAAATAAAGAAATAAATATGATAGTGACACAGTAACAAGAAAAAAAAAAGGAAAAGAAAGAAAAAAAAGGGAAAAAAAAAGAAAAAGAAAGAAAGAAAAAGATAAAAAGGAGAGAGGAAAAGAAAATTTCCAGAAAGATGCCAGCCTTGGATCACCGTAAATCTCTTCTTTCCTGATGGATTTTTACCTTTGTTCTATAAAATTACATTTCCCTTAGAAAAAGAAAGCAGTAATACTTCTAAATAAATAATCAGGACTTGATGTACTGCCAAGGGTTTCCACTAAAGTCTAGGAAAATGATCAGGGTAATTAAAAATAAATTCAGAATGTGCACATGTTTCTTTTTACATTATAATTTTATTTCTTTGTGGATCTTTTTTCTGTGTTAAAAAAAATAACAAATGGACAGGTAATTGCTAGGGCCATAAACACAGTAATAATAAGGTATTACTAGTGAATGGTTTTCTTACTGTCCTAATAATTATCACACAAGTAGTTGCCATTTCTTAACTCAAATGAGGGCAGAGGCGTTACTGAAGCTTCCCCTCCAATGGTATGAGCACTTTAGCAGGCTCCTAGAAATCCTCTTGGGTGAGAGAACAGTTTAATACCATTCATTTTACAAGTTTCAGATGAATGAAGTCCTGGTGGGAAGAAGGCTAATGGCAACACGGTAGTTTTATCTTGTCTAGCCTGAAAGCAAAATCTAAGGCAGGCAGGTTTTGTAATACAGAGATAAAAATCAAATCATTAATCTCATTGCCTGCCAGCTGTCACACATTTGCTGAACATAATGAATCCACTAAAAGGCAAGGGCATGTGTTTTGTGCCACTAAATGTTAAAATACACACTCTCAAATGGAATTTGAAAGTAGTCCCAACTTAATTTGTCCTCCCTTACAATTCACTCTGAATTACTCTCCCCAATTTTCTTAGGATTTTTATGTTAAAATAATACTGAAGAACACACAGATACTACCTCTAAATGAAGTTTCTCAAATTATTTAAAAATGTAGACCAAATAATTTTTAGATGCAATCTGAGATGGAGACTTTCACATAAAAAGCAAAGCAAAACTGTTTCAAAATTTGAAACAGTTTCATGGTAAACTTTCATTCTGTTAAAATAATTAAGTATGTTATGTCACATATAGTGCAGAGATGCTGAAAAAGCCTAGAAAGGTTTGAGCTAAATTGCTTCCTCAATTCACTATGCTTTGGCCTTTAGATCTTTAGAGCATGACTGTCCTGATCAGACGTGAGCAAAATCTGAGGTGTGGTACTTGCTACAAATTCATGTTTGCATAGGAGAGAGTTCTCTCTTATGTCTTTAAACCAACTTTTAAGCAGACCATGTGTTCTGCCCTCTCTGTGGACGATGCTTCCTACATTTGTAGAACTCTGTAGGCAACAGCTTTGCTGTTGAACCAAATTCCTCCAGGAATTCTGCCTAGTGCTGCAGCGTTCTGCCAAAGTGGGTCCTAATCCTCACTGACAGAACAGAGTCCGCACCAGAGGTAAGAGGCCTGTAAAATATCATAATTAAAAATTGCTTTTGCTTAGAAAATGTCTGCGCTCTTCCAAAGAGCATAAATTTCCGCATATTGAAATCATAACTTGAAAGTGGTCATACTGATTTCCATTTCTTTTAATTCAAAGAAACAAAGTAGCTATCAAGTGGAATACTTATATGTGTTTTAGAACAAAACACATTTTACAGCCAAGATATAAACTTCTGAAAAATGGATGTCTAATGGAAACAATGACAGTTCATTCACTTAATGAAAGTACTAGGAGGAGCTGTAGAAAGTAGGAGCTATCACAAACACAAAACAGACTCAACTACCACATGTTCTGTTTAAACAGGGCATCGCCACTGCATGGTTATGTTTGGATTACTGCATACTGGCATTCTGCGGTCTCACTGACTCAGTCAGTCAAGGCAAGTCTGCTAATTAAATAACATTAAAAGACTACAATTATACAAGAAAAACATTTTTAGCACATGGCATCGCACTACCTTCCTTATGCAATACAAAACAAAGAAACATGAAATCATATGCAAGAAGAAAATACCTTGTACACATCTGTCAGAAATACTTGCTGTTACATAAATCAAACCAACCTGAAGTTGTGTATTTTCTCACAGCAACACATCTTAAGATTATAAAAGGAGTGCTGGAAGTTCTATTCCTAAACTGTGCCTTTCTGTTTTTATGAGTTTTGCTTACTTTGGTGCACAAAGGACACAGTTTAGACTTGTTAACTAATTCAAAACTAGCAGGAGCGTCTGGGTGGTAAAATATGACAGCACTTAAACATCACAACTCAGGCAGTAGATATGGTCAGACACCAGATTTCCACTCGTTGCTGACAGGAATGTAGCATCAGAGAGCTGTGTGCCATTTTGGGAACTCACTCTCAACTCCAAATCAAAGAAAATTTCATTGAATTCCTGACCTCAAAAAAAGTCAAATTTGATGTTCAGGGGCAGATTTATTAGCCTGAACAACCTTACCTGCTTCTAGCCTGTCAATAAAAGTATCTTTGATATATGTGTGAAGCCGTTCAAACAACAATCAGAAGAACTGATTGCTTCTCTGGAGACTAAGTTCTGGCATCATTTGGCACTGATGATTTTGCTTTATCTTTTTGTAACCTCACAAATATGCTACAAATTTTTGTAAAATAAGAAATGAGATATCTCTAACACTGTACCTGTGAGGTAGGTGTTGTGTGAGGAATTGATGAAATAGTGTGACAGTGGTTGAGACATATCTTCATTTAAATCCAGTTTCTCGGGTGGAACGACGCCATTCTCTTCTCCACTCAGATATCGCATAAATCCATCCACTGATATCTGTCCTAAGAGAAACACAGATCCAGGGAAAGCACCAATTAATCTCAAGAACAGATTTTGAGTCATGACGATTTTTATATTCAACATACGCTTGGCAATTAAGATACATGAAAGACTATATAATCATTACAGAATCACAGAATGGTTGAGGTTGGAGGGGACCTCTAGAGACCATCTACTCCAACTTTACCCTCACCCTACTCCTGCTCAGTAGATATTCAGAGGAATACATGGCAAGATGACTTACAGTTTGACTTTGTGTGCTTTCTACATATCACTGTCAATACACTGCCAAGCCGCAAAAAGAGAAGCAGCAACTTCAGTACCCCAAAACAGAACCCACCATTCTTGAAAGCAAGCTGTACAGAGAGGGGTAAATTTTTATCTCATGTGTGAAAAGTCATAGAATAAGTGGCCTTAATTTAGCCTCCATCATATGTTGGAAATAATTTCTCTTAATATGCCAGTTCCAAGGATTAAAATACCACCTTCATGTTCTGTAGATCCTCCTTACATAGGTACATACGCAGCTGAATTTAACAATTTATATTTTTACATTTAATTTCCTAGAAATTAGACATCATTAGAGACCCACCAAGAGATGCACCATTTATTTCAAAAGCCAATACCTGAATAATCACAGAAATGCATTAACCCACCACAGTGGACACCTACAGGGAATTTTCTTCCCAAATAAAGATCGATTGGGCAAACCTCTCTCGAGAGGAGTTAAACTTATTAAAGTAGTTATTAAAAACTTTTAAGTGAAGGGATCATTTCATCATTTACATATCTTTTTCAGATCCCCACTAACCATTCTGATTCAATAAATACCGTATGGCAGGAACTTTCACAACCCAAGAGCACACTGAGCACCTCTGCAAGATTCCTGCACTTAGGAAATTAAAACAGGATCATATGGAACATTTGTGGGGAGCATGAGGAGCCTAAAGTCAGGTTTCCAAAAGGCTTTTTTGTTTTAAAGGAACTTTTACCACCAGGAAGCAGTACAAATGAGCTTTTACCCCACAGTAAGCAATTGCTTAGAAGAACTGGAGGTTTTCCTTTTAATTTAGCTGGTTCAGTACAGAGCCCAAATAGAATGAACTTGTCAACTTTTTTGGCATGAAAATTGCATTTTGCACAATGCAACAGATTTATCATTCCAAATACCATTTGTTAAGGACCATTTTACATCAAGTTTTTAATGTATTAAGAACAAATACTCAATTAAAGACACAAATGGTAGTTTGTTTCAATTGGACTTTTATCTCCCCCTCTTTTTCAAACCCATTCATATGTAGCAGGGACTTGAGAATAAATTTTTGAGTCAACAAATCTTCCTTCAGATAAAAATATGAATACTCTTCACCTGGCATTATAAAGAAATAAAACAACCAATCCAAATTAGAGAAGGGTTCAGGCTGCAAAAAGCCAGTCTATATTTTTCTTGTTTGTACACATCTTCTGTACATACAGAATCAATGGCCTGGTTACTGTCTGTACATTTACAGCAGTGTGTCAAACAGTTTGGAACAGGTTGAAGTGATTTAAAGAATTATTTTAACAGTGTGATTACCTAAAAATCACAAACAGAAATATTTAAAATAACAAAGTAAACTTTCTATTTTATGAAAGCACTGTTAATAATTGCAAAGAAAAAAGACATTTAAATTTGTAATTAAATATGAGGTTTACACTGAGTCAATTCTTTTTTTGCTAACTAGAACACACTACCTACACTACTGTGCACATTTGAAGAAGAAAATAAGTTATTCTTGCTTTCCCTCACTTAACTGTGAATGAGCTACGTTATAACATTGTACTGAATAAACTGGAGCAAAGAAAGATTGTTTCTGTTCCTGCAAAAGTTGTTATGGTCATCAGAAACTAGTTTATCCAGATACCAAAACAATTTTGAAGTGCTTACATAGGGATTTCTTCCACTTCAAATGTTTAAATTTCTTGAAAACATCGAAGAGGAGTGCTAAAAAGAATAATGTTACCTAAGTAAGAAAATAGGTTGCCACAATTTTAAACAGGTTAATTTTGCATAACAAGAATTTTGAAGCCAATTTAAGCAGCAAATTGAGCATATTTTCATCCTTCTGGGAAGTCAGTTAATGCAGTATTTCTTACAGTAAATTTCAGCTGTGAAATCATGAGGTCTTGCTATTTATTCTATGATTTATGCAACGCTGGACTTTTTCTGCCCAAGCCTGCACAAAGTTCACAAAAAATCTGACCTGAAGAGACTGCATCTCCAGTGGCAAACAGGTATGCAATCTTTGTGACCCTTTGGGTTTACCATTTCTGACAAGAACTTTAAAAAAGGCACTAACTGAACATCAAAGATGAAAGAGTGGCCATGCAAGGTAAAAGCAGCACTGTGTAGAGATACCCTGGCTGGCAGCATAGCTTCATCATGACAAAACTCAGATTTCTTGGTACTCCTAACTAGCTGAGTAGACTAGCCCTGGCGCAGCTATATCCAAATGCACCTAGAGGGACATTAAAATCAGAGTTAGTTTACTCCATCACACTTAAAGCTGTTTATTGTACATACATTAAGACTTGCTTCTTGTACAATGTCTATGTAGAAAATTAACTGAGTTTTAAAAGTATTTACAACAGCTAGACATTTTTATAATAAAAAGAATATTTATATACACCCAAACTACAACAAAAATCTTCAAGTAGGGTTTAAGGACACACTACTTCTCCCATTCCATTCCAAATTACGGCCTTCAGGATTCAAGTTAAAGCTCCATTTTTGCACCTAAAAGCATACATCAACTAAGATATTGTGTATTATTGCTTCAGCAAAGTCTCTTGCAACCCAATTCCTTTGGAAAGTGGAGGTGACTCTTGCAACTTTTTCAGATAGCAAGAAAAATTGAATTTTTTAAAAAAACCATATTTCAAATTGTCTCTTTCTGACTTACTGTTCAAAGGCTCTTTTTTTCCAGACTGGAAAGAAAGCAAACTGCATTCTCTCAGGAACTGTTCTGAAATAAGCTTCTGCCCTCTTTCTGGATCCAGCTTTGCAGTATAGGACGTTCTCTGACACCTTTACCATTGGCACTTAACCATGCTGATAAAACGCTGCCTGCAAAAGTTATCCCAGTTATTTCTACCAAAGTTCCAGTTCTTTAAGGCCTTATGGGTTTGTGCTGTTAAATCATTGCCAGGAGACCTCTCCCCAGTCTGAAGGTAGGTGCTATTCAATTTGGTCAATGCTTTCACTAGTTAGAGGAAGAAGAATACAGAAACATGGCTTGATTTTTCTGCCACTTCAGAAAATCTGCAACAATCTATGATGCAACTAATAGCAAGGCATTCACAGAGTATCTCTTAATTGAAAATGATCCAGAATCTCCACAAATGAGAATTATTCTCTACATGTAAGCAAACTGAAGTGTGAACTGCCTAATGACACAAAACAACGCAGCAATAAAACCAAATAAAATCCATCCCTCTTGGTTCATATCCCTTTCTACTTCTAGTAAATAACTCTCCTGTCCTCAAAAGCGATCCTCTGGCTTGGCTTTTATCCTTATTGATGTAGCATATAAAAGCATTTTCTAGGTAGAAAGAACAAAAAAAAAAGGATGTCCTCAACAGGATATGTATATGGACAGCTACATTGTTTATGAGCTAGCATTTGGGTACACTGCGTTTTGGACCATAAAGCCAAGCTATTGAGAGGGTTTTTTTTTAATGTTTTCCTGAATTCTTTTCCGTGCTCGGTAACATCCTGTAGAGATGGCACTTCAGCATGTACTGTCCTGGTGGGAATGATCAGCAGGTGGTGGGACCAGTGGCTCCCTACCAGGAAACTTGACTTGTCTGGAGACATAAGACCACCACTTGGTTGGCATAAGGCTGAGCTCGGACTGTCACCTTTATTAATTTACTCACAGCTTCTTGAAGGTACAAGCAGTGGCAACAGGACCAGGCCAAGCTTTTCCTCTGCCTGTCCTCTGCCCGAAACAAAGAAGGAAAAAGCCCTTTTCCTTCTTGCCTTCTCTTTACAGCAATCCTGGGCCTCCAATGCAGTCATCTTTCACGTGCACAGCCTCAGCTCTTGAGCCTCTCTCCTTCCTGTGCTGAAGGAAAAAGCAAAAAGGAGCAGAAAGAGCAGCAGAAATGGCTGGGTAGCTTCCTCTCTCTCTTCCAAATAACCTGATGATCCAAATATAAAGCATTCCTGTGAAGGGGATTTTTTTCTCGTTCTAGCAGGCAGCAGTCAGAAGGCCTTCATCTAGTTATTAACATAGCCTTCTTATCACAGCCTCCTCATTTTCAGCCATGTAAGCCGTGGACATCCCTTTAAGATAAGTCATTTCATAGCAAGTATCAGCATATAACCAAAGGCACAGAGCAACTGGAGATACAAAGGGCTAAAAGAACTATCAAAATAAACTATGGAGTACCAAGGAAGAGGTTCTTCAGGGACAGGAGAAAGCATCCCTGCCATAGGAGACCAGAAAACCAGTAAACAGAGTGCCACGTGAAAAAAAAAAAAAAATCACTCTCTTTTGAATCTGATCCCGGGTGCATATCTAAATGGAAATAAACTGAAAAGCAAGTGGGAACTTAACTTTCTTTTGTAATTTTCACTTGTGTTCCAATGCCAACACAAATGAACACTTTATATGCTACAAGCAATGTAAAAAGCCAACTTCCATTCTCAGCCCAAACACAACCATCTCAATGGAGATGTGTTTATTACATCAGGACAAATTTCTCCTACCAACTTTTTTGCCTGAATGTTGACTTCAGGATTGTTGTTGATCTGCACATTGACATAAATAAATAAATAAATCAGCCTATTGAAGCTCTATTGAATCAAATTGGGACATTTTCCTCTGCTGATTTGCTCAATTGCTTAGTTGGACTTAATTCAGTTCCTTCCTACAGTAGAACAGAACTTCTGTATCTTTGAAGAACCATGAACTGGCTACATGTTCGGTGTCTCTCAACAATGAGAATTTCTTATCTC